GCATTGCTGTTTATTTGCTGTAGGCAAAATACATTACTGCTCAATAAACAAACAGTGATCCTGGCATACCTTCTTTTTTTCCTTCTCTTCTTTACAGCCTGCATTCTGAAACTTTTATTGCTTGCTCTGTGGGAAACAGCTGATTTATTTCCCTCTCCTGCCCGTCTTTTAGTTAACTTTGGTTTCCTTCTTCCAAACTCTATAACAGGGGTCGGCAGCCTTTCAGAAGTGGGGTGCCGAGTCTTCATTGATTAATAATTAACTCCAATTTAAGGTTTCGTGTGCCCATAATACATTTTCACGTTTTTAGACGGTCTCTTTCAATAAGTCTATAATATATAACAAAACTATTGTTGTATGTAAAGTAAATAAGGGTTTTAAAATGTTTAAGAAACTTCATTTAAAATTAAATTAAAATGCAGAGCCCCCCGGACCGGTGGCCAGGAGCCGGGCAGTGTGAGTGCCACTGAAAATCAGCTCGCGTGCCGCCTTCGGCACCCGTGCCATAGGTTGCCTACCCCTGCTCTATAACCTATAGATCTTGCTGCAGTATTATATAAATTTGGGTTTGATTGCTAGCTCGGCTAGCTATATTGGCTCTGCTATGTGATGAGACTGAGGGGATATTTTCCCTCTATACAAGAGCACAGCCGGCAACATCTTTAATGGGAACAAAGTAAAGGGAGAATTTATACAGCTTAGTTTTTAGGCTATCTATGTAGGTATGGACCATACCATTGCCAGTGTGCCTTGCAAATGTCTCCACACCTCTGTGAGGCATGCAAGTATTATTAGCCCCATTTTAGATGGGGAACTGAAGCACAGAGAGATTGTGACTTGCCCCAGGTCACGCAGGATCTGAGAGAGGAATTAAGTTCAGATCTCCTTAGTCCCAGTCCTCCTCCACGTGCCCATCTTTTCGCTGCAGACTCACGAAAGGCAAATCCTTCATTGGTTCATAGACACTCCAGATGGGCAGAGTGTCCCCGGCAGGTCTGGGATGTAGCTTCACCTTCACCCCTTACAAGACTAGTCAGATATTAAATGACAAGATCTGAGCCAAAAGGCCAGGTAGAAGTGAAGTGGATGTGAGGAGCATCTCTGCCTGACCTGCCTTATACCTAATGCGCATAGTCCAGTGAACGGCTTACATTGTCCCCAAGCTGCTGTTTACTCCAGCTCTTCTCTTACATGTAGTGCTGGCCATGTCGCTCTGAAGAAGAGTCATCCAATCACGAACTGAGCTGGGTCCCAATTCTGCAAAGTGCCAGGAGCCCCCAACTCCAGCGCTTGGCTCCTTGCAGGGTCAGGCTTGGAGTTCGAAAGCTAGCTTTTCCTCCCACCGCCTGAAGGATTTAGTGCTTTGAATTATGATGCTACAAAAGGTTTTCTCTTAAAAATGAATAATGTGCGAGATAAAGTAACAGTGATGTGATAACGCTGTTTTCCCTCCCATCTGTCAATCCAGGATAAATTAAGGTGTGATAGTGACCAGCTAACTGAAAAAACCTTCTTTGGTCTGAATAATAAGCACCTGTGTAGCACATGCAAAAAAACAATTCCTTGTCACCTGTCCATGCTATTTAGGAAATTTAAAATGCTGCTATAAAACATAGCCCTGCCTAGGGGTTACTGTTTAGTGTTCGCTTCAGTTTCGTTAGTTCACTTCACAAAGAAAGGAAGCTTTGGTAAATGTCTTTGCTCCTTTGCTTTGTATTTTGGAGATTGTTCCCTGCTGGCAGCAGACGGCGTTAGAAAAAATATATTTGAATTGCCTGTAGTCCAGAGTACAGCTGCAACGGTAATTAAATCTGTCTGCATCTGTTTGGTTTAAGAAAAATAAATGTGGCAAGGGAAGTGCATTTTTATAATTAGGCGTCTGGTTGGCTGGCTCCAGTAGGCCCTACAATGATCCAGTGCTACCTTTCAGACATGAAGCCACTTAACAGAGTTACTAAACTAGACTAACTGAGCATCAAAGAAACAGACGGCTCTGAGCTGTTTTTGTCCACTCTGTTGATGTGCACCGGGGCGGCTGCCTTCTGATTGCCCCCTCTTACCATGGGGGGCCCTGAGCACCCGGCCCCAGTTTTCCTCCTCTCAGGTACCCCAAAGACTCTCCATGCCAGGCTCTCTTGCCTCAAGCATGTCCCTCCTTGGGGCTGTTTTAGTATCAAAACCTAGTGTAAGGAGTTCAAAACGTAAGTCTTGACACAAAATGAGGTCAGATTTAGTGATCCCAATGGATCTTTCTGGCCTTGGAATCTATGAATTTATGAAAATCCGTGTCTCACCCCAGTGCCAACAGCCGTTAAAATCACCGGAGAGACAAGGTGGGTGAGGTAATATCTGTTATTGGACCAACTTCTGCTGGTGAGAGAGAGACCGGCTTTCGAGTTCTCTGGGCCTGACCCAGCTCCACCTGCGGTGTCTCTCCCACACACCCAGCAGGGCCGCAGGAGCTGAGCACGGCTCTCCTGCAATCACTCCTGACTGTGCCTGCATGCCATGGCATTGGCACTGAGGGAAGGAGACTCCTCTCCTCTGCTTTCAGTGCTCTGCCTGTGCTTTGAACCTGCGGAAAGGGGTGGGGGAGCAGGTTGAGGACAACCAGTTGCCCCAAGGTCTCATTAGCAGAGAGGTGGGGGAGGGACCAGGACTCCCCCTTGATTCCTTGTCCCACCCAACCTCCTTGGAGCCTCTGTTCCCATAGGATGGTACACCGGTCACTCCAGTTTCACCTGGGGTCAGGCTTTCCTCACTGGATAACCTCTGTGATCAGACGCAGCCTCTTCCATCTCCATGGGGATGTGTCAAGCCAAAGGCAACATGTATACACATCCCTAGCCTAGTGTTCCATTAACATGCGATATATATGAACATTGTCTCTAGGACAGTGGTTCTCAAACTGGGGCCGCCCCTTATGTAGGGAAAGCCCCTGGCGGGCTGGGCCGGTTTGTTTACCTGCCGTGTCCGCAGGTCCGGCCGATCGCGGCTCCCACTGGCCGCAGTTCGCTGCTCCAGGCCAATGGAAGCTGCTGGAAGCGGCGGCCAGTACGTCCCTCAGCCCGCGCCGCTTCCAGCAGCTCCCATGGGCCTGGAGCAGCGAACCGTGGCCAGTGGACACCACAATCGGCCGGACCTGCGGACGTGGCAGGTAAACAAACCGGCCTGGACCACCAGGGGCTTTCCCTAAACAAGCAGCGTCCCAAGTTTGGGAAACACTGATCTATTTGAATTAGTCTTCACAGTCACAGTGATTCACTGTTCCAAAATCTAGGTCCCTTATGTATCGGTGTGAGGAAGACTTCAAGAAAAATGATGATAAAGATCTGGAGTGAATTGTGCTATCACACCTATCACTTTTCCTCCTCTTCAGCATGGCAGTTAGAGCATCTTGATGTCAAGCTTTAGAAGGCTCCTTTTCCAGTGGTCAGGTTTTGCCCCCTCACCATATCTCTTGGGCAACTTTGCTGGCATTTGCAGATGGCCGGTGGAGCTGCTGTAAGGTTAGACTGTAAATGGTCTGTTTGTCCTACTGCATTTTGGATATTGTGTTTGGATTTTCTCCTCTCTCTGACTTTCATCTTGATTCCAAGGGACTGATGAATCTTTATTCAGTTACAAGTAAATTTCTCGCCATCTTTTCCAGGAGATATGAACATGGGTTGACGCTTTCAAAGCCACCAGAGGAGTTTAGAGAGACAGCTCCCAGCTGTGTGTATGGGGCTGGCTGGAAGACAAGAATTCTAGGTTGTGAAACATTTCAAGGCAGCGGGAATTTGTTTGAATTCCACGTTGGTACGAAACTGAGGCCTTTTGAAATTGTTCATGAAAGAAAGAGTCCTCCACCCACCCACCCAAGAACAGCCAATAGCCCAGAGCAGAGCAAGAACTTGAACCTCGGGCATTCATATCCCATCATGGGGCTCCTGGCTATTCTGCTGTCTCCCTCTTTCTCTGACCAGAAATTTCATCCTGGACCCGAGAAGTCATCCTGGCAAAGGTGTCATTATAACTCATGTTTCTGCAAACATTTTCCATTTCAACAAATCAGTGTTTTCCAACCAAAAACACTTCATCTAAAAATGCCCAGCTCTAATTGTGTGTCTGAATCCCTAGTTGGCTTTGAAAATCTCATCCTGGGGCTTCTAAAGTTCCCAAGGATGCCCATCCTTTACTTAAGTGAAGCCTGACAATCTCCCATACAGTCACCCCTATCACATTGCTCACTGGGCAGTAGGCTCGCATGAGCGATTTCTCGGCCTTAGAAATTGTCTCGTTTACTTTTTAGCAAATGCTTTCTGCCCTTTTTCTTTGGGAAGCAGTTAGCTTGTCCCTGATCAAAAGCTGGCAGACTGTGTCATTTTGGGGCCTGGTGTAACTATTGCTAGATAAAAGTGCATGAACTAACGTCACACACATTCCTATTGCATTCTCAGATGGGGCTTTTTGGTGAGTATTCAGGAAACAGGCTAATGAATGTCTTCCAGGCATCAGAATGAATGATTTGATTAACTGTAATTATAAGGGAGGGGGGAGTTTTTAACAGAGAAATGTTATGACTGAAAGAATTTTAAAGGCATGTTCTCTCCAGCAGATGTGGGACTCTACGAGTGTGACTTTGTGAGTGCTACTACTTCTAGAGAGAGGGACGCTGGGGGAAATGTTTAGATTCACTCAGGACCAGGCTGCTTTCTGAATCCTGCTCGTGCAGCGGAACGCCCAGAGCGCTCCAGATGACGTATCATTTTAATTCCTTTCCATCAAATCAGCAACACAGAGAGAGAAAAGTGAGAGGGGGGAAAGGTTTCCAAAATAGCATAAGAACTTCACGCGGCGGAGCTCATTAGGGTACCCACACTGGCATTGTTTTCAGCTATTCAAGGCGTTACGAGCCTTTCAGTTCTCGGCAGCCTCTAACAAAGGCCTTTGATTGCAATCCTGGCACTTTCATAAAAGCCATTCAGCCCTAACGTCTAATGTTTTTGTGCTTTTAGGCGTTCGTATGTTAGATGGAGATGTAACAGATGTTGTTGAAGCAAAGTCGCTTGGCATCAGACCCGATTACATTGACATTTACAGCGCAAGCTGGGGGCCAGATGATGATGGGAAGACAGTTGATGGACCTGGTGAATTGGCCAAACAGGCTTTTGAGTATGGCATTAAAAAGGTGTGGATAATCGAGTGCACTGGAGACACTGTTTTTCCCCCGCCCTTTTGCCCCATATGAAGTTTAAATTTGTGTGTGTGTGTGTGTGTGTGTGTGTGTGTGTGTGTGTGTGTGTGTGTGTGTGTGTGTGTGTGTGTGTGTGTGTGTGTGGTG